GTAAGTGACTGTGAACAGTTTGTGAGTAAATCCAGTAGGAGTTCTCCAACAAACATGTTGAGTCTCTTCACAACTCTTTCATTGCTTAACCATAGAGTAGCTCTCGGTCTTAGCCATGCTAGTATTTCAGACTCAGGAATTAAGTTGTGCTTAGGAAAGTTTCTTCCTCCGGCATATTGTTTTTGTATAGTCTTGTCCTAGGCCTGCCCCCTGATGTCTTGCTATAAACTATACTTTAAAACACATGCTTAATTCTTACTTAATAATATTTTGTCAGTGTTGCTGCCTTTTTGGTCAAACTGATTTATTTGGAAAGAAAAAAGTAAAGATGTGCCCAGGTAATTTTCTAAGTTACGTTAAATTCACGAATCTAGAAGGAAACAGATTTTTACTCTCTTCTCTGGCTTTGACGAGTATTGACTTTTGTCCGTTTAAAATCACCTGAAATCCCTTCCAGACGTTCACTTTTGACTGGTCTGTTTTGCATCCCAGGCTTTCAAAAGTTCTCTAGGGATGGGGTGGGCGTGCAGTGTGGCTTTGTTGGAGAGCTCCTACTTAGCATGCACAAGACCCTGGATTCATTTTCCTGGACAACAACAATAGAAACCTACTTGAATGGTTCTGATGTACAGCCAGGGTTGGAAGTGACTTTGTGGGTAGTCATTCCTAGTCTTGGGCTGGATAATCTCAAGTAGCAGTTTCTCCTTCCCCAACTCCAGAAGTGAAACAGAAGTGGGTTTTGTTTGTTTATTGTTGTTTGAAAAGAGAAAGAACTCCTTGGAATGAAAGGGACAGGGACGCCAGGAGAAAAATGCCTGGAGCTATTTTTCTTGACCCAGGTACCTTTGCTGCTATCTCTTTTAAAGCTGGCAGTGGGCCAGAGCTCAGACTCATCTGTTTCTTCTCAGAGTATGTCTGGAGGGAAATGTTACAATCGATGTAGTATCCTCTGCCAAATACTAAGCGTGGGTAAGTAAATGAAAGCAGTTTTCAAGGCCTGTTCTCTAGAGTCCTTTTCCTCTGCGTATGTGACTTGAGTGAAGTAGAGCAGCACTTCCGTGTACTGTAGAAACACAAGTCCAAGTCCAAGCTGTCCGCAGCTACTTTCCTTTGTAAATCAAACAAGCTGTGTTGCTACTTGATGGAGAAAAAAATAATCCTGTCTTGGGCAATCATAACCCTTTGGATTATTTGTCTCTTAGCCCTAGTAGGATTTCTTTGTCAAGGGACTCTTGCTTTTCCTTTGCTGTTTCTTTCTGTATGAAATGAACTAGCCAAGGTTTAATTATTTCTGACTAGTATGTGACATTTTAACACTTTGTTCTAGAATGTTAAAAGACCTAACCAGGGGGCTGGAGAGATGGCTCAGCGGATAAGAGCATTGCCTGCTCTTCCAAAGGCCCTGAGTTCAATTCCCGGCAACCACATGGTGGCTCACAACCATCTGTGATGAGGTCTGGTGCCCTCTTCTGGCCTGCAGGCATACACACAGATAGACTATTGTATACATAACAAATAAATAAATAAATATTAAAAAAAAAAAGACCTAACCAGTTATTCCAGAGTGAGATTCCATAGCTTCCAACCTTACCCTAAGTAGAAGAGATGTGTAATGGCCATGACACTTTATTGCCTGCCTGTGGCAACCTTGCATGTGGTGATAGGGAGGGAAGAGTTGTTCCAGCAGCCATAGAAAATGAAAACCACTTTTCAAAGTAGCTACTAAGAAGCAGCTTCTGTCTGCTGAAAAAGATGTGTGCTCTGAGACTCAGTGGAACAGACTCAGCAAATCCTGTTCATGCATTGCCCGTTAGTAATTGAAATAGGTGGTGGAAGAAAAGGAGGGTTAGGGAAAAAGCTGGTGAGAGTGGAGGACTAATAGCATCAGACTATGAACACTTGTTCTGAGTAGCTTTTAAGGCATTGGTGTTGACTGGCTGTATGTAAATCCTGCGGCCTCAGAGACCCAGCTGCCTCCCTAGCCTCAGGAAGCTCTGAACTCCTGCTGGTAGGGAGTGGGCTTGGAAAGCAGGTACTGTTGAAAACCCCTAGAGCTTTCATGTTGGAGAACTTTGTGGAGTACTGGGAAAGCTGTTGAACTTTTTGTAGATTGTACCACACTGGACTTTTAAGATTTTGAAGAGACAAAAGAGGAAAGTGGGGAAGTGGCAGTAAACGGTAAATATGTTAGCTTTTGATACTTTGAGCAAGGGGTAAAAGAAATTTCTAGCACTACTGTAAAGTCGGATCATCTTCTGCTCTAATGTGTTGTCTTGCTCGTTCATTCATTCATTCATTCATTCTGCCTTGCCCTCTTGTTTTCTTGCCCCTGCCTGTCTTTCTTTTAGTCCTGGGTATTAAATGGTATTAGACCCGAGAACCCGGAGCATGCTGGGCAAGCATTCTACCACTGAACTATATATTCGCAGATCCAGATCCCTTCTGAAATAGCTAAGCAACTGCTGGGCTGATCACAGTGGGACCTTGCTCCATCTCCTGGCCCTCAGTAAAAGCAAAAGTCATTGCTGAACTCTAGGCCAAGGGGGTGTCCTCTCCTCGGCGTCCATTCTCACCGCAGTGTCTCTTCACAGCTTCAGCCTGTGGCATTGTTTTCTGTTCTGGTGGATTTTTACTCAGGGCCCAGTGGCTTCCGTTCCCCTTACGACATCTTTAGAGCAGCACTGTAGCCTACCTAAGTGAGGGAAAAGCAGTTGCGGGCATGTAGATCTCCTGGCTTCTGTCTTAGGATGGGGCCCACTCAGGTGCTGCCTCTGAAAGGCTGAGGGTTGGAAGAGGAAAGTCAGTGCAGCAGAAAGCTGGTTTCCTTCAGATGGGCCTGTTCTGAAGGAGCTCCAACTACTCTATGGTGCTTACTTAATGGGTGACAGCTGCCTCCCAGCTACCTGTCCCTGGCACTGTGCCTTCCCACTGGTCACTGTGAAAAGTAGGTCACACTGGACTCAGAGGCCAGAATCCAGGACAAGATCCCTCTTCCTGAGCCCATTACTTCTTCATGCAGCTTATAATGTAGCATTAACTTCTTTTGAGAACTCTGGGGCTTTTCTTCCCAAGAAACAGTAAAACATTTACAAGAAAACAGAAAAGTAGATTTGGGCTATAGCTGTCACCTTAAGAAATCACAGAAAGATTTCACTTCAGCTGCTACTGAGTGACAGCAAGAACAGCTGTGGTCTCTTCCTGTTTCTGAAGCTGACACAGTAGCGGTTCTAGCAGCAGACTCACCTAGACAGTTTCCACGGGTGTTCATCAAGGATACTGAATGCATACTGAAACAGACAATCACTTTCTAAGACATTAGTCCTGGACGGGAATGGGGTATGTTTTGAACTATAAGAACTTACCAGTCAATTTTCTTCCTATGAAGAGTCTTAACGTTTGAGATTTGTCTTTCATCTACAACAATTCCTCCGTTCATAGTAAAGATGCCTCAGAAAAGGGTGCCCGGGAAGGGCTCCCACACCTCTGAGAACGCCAGGCGGGCTGTGTGCATCGTGTCTCCTAAGACTTTGTGTTTTGTTGTTGTGACCTTGGTTATAAGGATCTATATAGGAGTAGGGTTTCTCTCCCCAGCCTCCTTTAACCATCACTTTAGTGTGAGCCCTTCCACCCCTTTACTGAGAAATATATATATATATATTTAAAAAAAAAACACAAAAGGTATGCACTTTAATTCCTAAGGAGTGTGGTTGTTCCTGGCCCTTAAGCCAGAACTCAGGAGGAGAGCTGAAGAAGGAAACTCTTTGCCAGACCCTGTAAGATTTAACCAAATGTCTTTGCCTCTGCCCCCTAGTGCTGGGGATTGAGCCAGGGCCTTACTCGTGCTAGGCAACTGCTGCCCCAGTCACAGTATCTTAAAGTGAACACAAAGTACCATGTTTGCGAACTGCCACCGAGCGCTCCTGCCAAAGGGGTAAGGAACCACTAAATAAAAGAGTCCAAAATACTTACCCTGATTTTGGAATTTTTCCTGAGGGAAATTTTATTTTTATTGAATTATTTTTTTAGCTACCAAAGTATAAAAAGAAAAGTCTGTGTTATTTTGTGGTAAGCTTTCTTTTCTTCTTCTTTTGATTAAAAATCAAATGAAAATACAATAGCACTAAAATATTATTCAGAATTACGTCATGTCTAAGTACCGGGTTCATTTCCCCTTAATTTAGCAGGTGTTCTCTGGTTCTCCTCCTGTAGATTCTGTCTTTCCCCTGGTGACAAGCCAATAGTTCTTGGAGGGCTAGCATGTCTCCTAGAGCCCTGTTGTATCGGGGAGGGGGGAGGGCAGGAGGGCCAGGGGAGGGAAATTAAAGAAGAGTTAAGAGGTGGGTTTATGTAAACATATTTAAAGCAGTTAGCAAAAGCTTTCTCATTGAACAGCTTTAAGAACAATGTGAATGAAACCTTAGCAACTTGGCTAGTAATCTGAAAAGTCTATTAATGTATACTTGAAATTCTGTTTGTATAAAAAATGCATTTCCTCTTTATTTTGACACTGTATAAGAACATTATGCATGTGAGTGGTTTGAGAAATAAAAGGTTTAATACTCAAATTTGAATCTCTGTCTTTTCTATATATAGAGATTAATTTGTTTATACTCTTGGAATTTTGTAGTATGGTAGGAAGATTGAGAATTTAAAGCCCTTTACCCTTTCAAGAAGCCTGCTCTCCTCCAAGATGAAATAATAACATATTTACGTCTTTTATTCTTATGGTTTTCTGTTCTACTTTTGGGGAAAGGGAGTCATCTTGAGACAGGGTCTCTCCCTATGCAGTCCAACCTCAACTGTTGATCCTTCTGCTTCTGTCTTCCAGAGTGCTAGGATATAGGTGTGTGCCACCATGGCTGGCCTCTTCCCCTTTATTTACCCAGACATTGTTACTGGGTAGAGAAAAATTGGAAATGTCACTTTCCCAGATTCCCCAACAGCATCTTAATCTGCACTTCCTCTCTTGTCTTCGTTTTGAGTGGAAGAGCCCATTCTTGTGAGGTGGCAGCCATATTTATTTTTACTTCTGGTCACAAACAGCAAAAGGAAAAGGTCAAAGACTGTTTTCGCTCACACAAGGGTTAGCCACTCTCCCCATGAACAGAATAGTGTTCAGAGCAACTTCCCTGATAAGGACCAGGAAGGGCCTGTTGGCCTTGAAGGTCACCCTGCTTGGGTTCAGTGAACGGCCAGCAATCACGACTGCAGTGCTCGCTGCTGCTTCGCTGCCTTCCTCATTCACCTGCAGGTCACACAGGAAACAAGCATTAGCTACCCTGCTAGTCCACACAGCTAATCCACACACACAGACCCTGCAGCTCCTCACACTGATGTTTTCCAGTAGCTAGTATGAATGAAATGTATGCCCTGGCAAAGCTGCAGCCCATACGGGGCGGTTCCGTTGAACTTCTCCATATTGGGGTTCATGGTCTTAAGCTGATGAGGATGATTGACCAGGTCTCTTCCTCAAGAGGGCACCAGGTCTCACTACAGATGGCTGTGAGCCACCATGTGGCTGCCGGAAATTGAACTCAGGACCTCTGGAAGTTAAGGCTGTAACCGCTGAGCCATCTCTTCAGCCCTAATATGCTTGGACACAAATGATTCCCTCCAGAAGCCTCCTCATTCTTACATCCAGTGGATGCAATGCACTGGGCTCATCCAAAGTCTTGCGAGAGTTGTACAAGTGTGATTCCTGAACTAGAAGTCACAGTCTGGTAGCATGGTGGAATGCTATCGTAGGGCATTGTTTTGAACCAGCTGCTAATAGAAATTCAGGAGCAAGATCAGACATCTATAATTGAAATAGATTCACTCTTGTAGTATAAAAAAATCCTAGGTATAACTACCCCCAAACAGCTACACAGAAGCTGTGCCTTATGAAAAGACAGTCCTCCAGTTGGATGAGATGTTTTTCTTGGAGTAATAACCTGAGCATGTGTTTGAATGACACATCCGAAGGGCAGACTGCCTTCAGAAAAATCTGACCATTGATAACATTATGTGTTACTGTCTTCTCTGGGATAGGATCTTGCTGTGCTTTCTAGTAGCTGAGGCTAGCCTGTCATTCAGGATCCTCCTGTATTAGCCACCTACTCTGGTTTCTTTTAAACAGTCTTATTATATACCCTCTTGCTGGCTTTCAGCTTTCTTTATAGACCAGGCTGGCCTGGAACTTGTGGCAATCCTCCTGCCTTTGCCTCCTCTCCTGGACCATTAAGTAAGTGTGATCTCTGTGCTTTGTGGGGCTGGTTAATGTTTCCTTCCCTTCCCTTTGGCTGTTCCACATCTCCAAGTTCATGCTAGGACTAAATTTCCAAGTAGTGTGAAGATAAGATACAGCCAGCTCCCACTTCCCTCAGGTCCCACTGAGCTTGGCTCCTACGATTAGTTCTCTGGCACTTACTCTGAACCTTTCTCTCTGATTGCAGCCTTGCAAACTCAAGCCCTGTAAACTTTGTCTAATCTTGGCCCATTTCCTTCTGCTCAGTCTTTGCTCCCAGGATGAACAGCCTACACCACTCGGTGTCCAACCTGAACATACGTGAAAACCCTTAGGCTCCTCCCACGCCCATCAGTCTCCAAGGGTAAAGATCTCCACCTAATGCTAAGGAGCCACACTTCGGTATCTGAGAATCAGAACTACAAGCTGGCACGACTTACCCTAACACAGTTCTGTGCTCGCCTCGGTTGGGGGAAGAGAGGCTGAGCAACACTCCACGATTTTCCAAACTGAGACTTCTCAGATCTCAGCACACTATTGTGTGTAGTGAATCTCTCAGGATAAACATGTGCCAGCCTAACTAGGTTTCTGAAATGCTGTCTCTCACAAGAGTCTCCTAGAACACACCTGGGAACACTAAGGCAAGCCACACTCATTAGTTACCCCTTTCTTATGTTCAATTGCTCTTCACCTGCTTCACTTAAACACACGCCCCTCCCCATTCTGTCCAGATTGGGTTTTAGTATTTTGCCCCCTGTTTTCCATATTCCTGAAACATCCCAGAATTCCCTCTCAGTGACTTGTGCTGGCTCCTTTTCCTTGGGCTTCCCTCTAAATATGCTTCTCTGGCAGGAGAGGAGGTCAAATAGCTGGAGCTTGAATGTCGTACACAGGCAGACCTCACGGAGAAGGCTTCAAGCTTCTCCTCGTGCATGATTAAAGGAATATTGCAAACTTGCCTCTTCCCTGTTCTGTCCTGCTGCTAACAGACCTGCTGTGTCTGCCCAAGAGCGCAGCAGGAAACTCCAGATACTTGTGCAGACTGATAGCAATGCAGAAAAGGCAGAAGGTGGAGGGAGATGAACTCACCTCAAGAAACGCTTTGTGGAATGCATCAGAGACATACAGGTCATTCCTGCCGTCTGCAACAATCCCTAGAAAGGAAGATCAGGAAAGCGGGTTTGTGATTTGACTCCAGGCCACACAGGAGATCAGTCTGAATGAAGACATTCCTCTGAGTGGTTTGAGAAGTAGAATGCTGAACTCCCCTCGTCACAACCTCCACCCCCTCACTGGATACCTCTTAAAAACAAGGAGGTAGTTGGACTTCTTTGACCTGGATCTTGTGAATTTAATCTCATGTCAGCTTCTTGGGGAAGGTGGAAGGGTGGGACTCTGTTCTTAAAGAAAAACCTGACTATATCAAATAAAAATGTTTTCCCAGACTGGTAACATTTTTGAGAGGTTTGGCTTTCACAGCTAGTTTAAAGGTTAACTCAGTAAAGATAAAATCAGATTACCTGGTTGATACCTTTTTAAGATAGAGTCTCTTTGGGTAGCCCGGGCTGGCTTTAAACTGTCATCCTGCCTTAGCCTTGAGTGTTGAGAATATAGTTGTGTGCCACCATGCCCACTTCTGGGCTTCTTTTTGACAGAGATATCGGGGGTCAATGAGATTGTTCATTGGGTAAGGGCACTTTGCCCCCAACCCTGACAACCTGAATTTTTTTTTGTTTTTTTTTTCGTTTTTTTTTATAGATTTATTTATTTATTAAGTATATAGTGATCTGCCTGCATATGTCCCTACAGGCCAGAAGAGGGCAGCATATTTCATTACAGATGGTTGTGAACCACCATGTGGTTGCTGGGAACTGAACTCAGGACCTTTGGAAGTGAAGCCAGTTCTCTTAACCTCTGAGCCATCTCTCCAGCCTCTGACAACCTGAATTTAATCCCTGGGATACACATGTCTTTAAACACCTGAAAGTTGTACACACACACACACACACACACACACACACACCATGGCACTTGTGCATCCTCATACACAGATAAGCAAAAGATATTGCCAGACATGGTGGCACACACCTATAATCCCAGCACTCAGGGTGGAAACAGCACAGTCAGTTGAAAGTCAGTCCTAGCTGCACAGTGGTTTCCAGGCCAACCTGGGCTGCCTAAGACCCTGTCTCAACCAAAAACAAAAAAAAAAAAATGAAAAGTATTTTAAGGTCCATTTTTTAGCTTTAATTTACTGTCATCTCGTTTTTATTTTATTCAAGATTTATTTTCTCTCTCTCTCTCTCTCTCTCTCTCTCTCTGTGTGTGTGTGTGTGTGTGTGTGTGTGTGTGTGTGTGTAGGCACCTATGAAATCAGATCCCCTGGAGCTGGAGTAACAGGAAGTTGTGAGATGTCTGCCTTGGATTCTGGAAACTGATCCTGGGTCTTCTGCAATAATGATCCGTGCTCTTAACTGCTAAGCCATCTCTCTAGCTTCTTTTTTATTTTGCTTTTGAGACAAGGGCTTCTTAAATAGCCCAGGCTAGCTTGGATCACTATCTTTCTGCCCTACCTCCCAAGTGCTGGAATTATAGGCATGTCTCAGCATGCCTCACTTTTAATGTCTGTCTCTTTGAATTCCAATGGTGTCCTCTCCTCTATTAGATACAAAATCATAGGATGACAGTACTGGCTAGACTCCTGGAAACACCCCCTGTCACAGTGGGGCTGGGTAGGGCAAAGGATTGCCACAGCTTATCACAGAGCCCAGATCAGAATCCAGGTATCTTGACTTGACACTCTTTTCTGTGCTTCCCTTGACTCTCTCTCCCACATGTGGTCAAGCCTTCACCTTGAAGTAGAGAGGAGGTAGTTTTCTCCTTTACCAACCTGGGAGTTGGGACTTCTCAGGGTTGAACAGATCCACAAGGCCCATGTCTTGCAGCTGCTCCTTTAGACTGAAGCTATCCTCAGTGCGGAAGCGAGGCATATGGACCACAAGCATGGTCTCCGTCAGCTCGTCTAGCCATTCCTGGAGCAGCTCTGGGGAGAGTTCCCGCTCCACCTTGGCCAGGCTCTTCTCAGGCTTGGGCAGGATGAGCACCATGGTGATATCATCGCCCTTGAAGGGCAGCTCCAGCACCTGGGTGCCTTCTGCTACACGCCGGTATTTGAATTTGCCTTCCTGGTACATCATAGACACTGGGCATGTCTGCTCATCAGCCTTGTAGAACATCTCCCTCCTTGTGTTCTCAGGGCTAAACTTTGACTTCCACAGGCCCTGAAAGATGTCAGATTGGAGAATCATAAAGCAAGATCAAAAATATCCTAGCTGAATACGTCCTGACATGGGACATGATCATTGTCGGATTGCATCAGCAGATAAATGCAGCTGTTAGAAAAGCTAAATGTCTCTTAAAAGGCTAAGAATTATGTGTGAATGGCATGGTTACTTCTGTGTATTTCTATGTTTTTCAGATTTCCAGCAATATTAGTATCATTACTTTTAAAAAAAATATTTATTTATTTATTTATTTATTTATTATGTGTACAGCATTCCTTCCATGTGTGCCCGCAGGCCAGAAGGGGGCGCCGGTTCTCATCATAGATGGTTGTGAGCCACCATGTGGTTGCTGGGAATTGAACTCAGGACCTCTGGAAGAGCAGTCAGTGCTCTTAACCGCTGAGCCATCCCTCCAGCCCTAGTATTATTACTTTTACGTGTGAGAGGAGGGGTTTGCCCCTGTGCGTGTATGGACATCAAAGGGCAACTTATCACCATGCAGGGACTGGGTCTTTCTTCCCACCATGTGGGTTCCATGCTGGAACTCAGGCTGCCAGGCGTGGTGACAAGCACCTTTATCAGCTGAGCCATCTTGCCAACCTAGTATTTTTTTTTTTTATCAGAAAAGTCTAAATCCAAGACTAGCCTACAACCCTGTTTGCAAGTACATTCTGCCTTGTGTTTCTGCTGACAGCCTCCAGAGCTCGGAGCTCTATCCCTGATGAATTAGAGGGCAGACTCAGACAGCAAGCCCAGGAATCTGTCTGGAAATCCTGCCTGACTTCCGGCACTAATCTTTCTCGTTGTCTGACTCTTTGCCCTTGTGATAAGTTATTTAACTTTGAGCGGTGGCTTCTCACCAGCAAGTTAGGCATTAGAAAGAGCCAATGGCTTTAGAATGTGAACTGTGAACTCTAAGGGTGTACAAATACCTCACTGAGCATTTCACGTGCTCACCTACTCTGACCCTTTGATAATCCTGTAAAGTAGGTGAATTCTCGTTACCATTTTTTAGATGCAGAAATCAGGCCATAGGAAAGTCCCCAATATCTCCCTAGTAACTCACAAGAATTTGTATACTTGGGCTGGATGGTGGTGGCACATGCCTTTAATCCTAGCGCTCAGGAGGCAAAAACAGGTGGATCTCTGAGTTTGAAGCCAGCCTGGTCTACAAAATGAGTTCCAGGACAGCCAGACTGTTACACAGAGAAATCCAGTCTCAATAAACAAAAACAAAACCATATACTTACAAACAAGAAGTCAAGATTTCAACAAAAAATCATACTGCATAAATGGCCCAGGGTCCCACTTGCAGTGGCAGGAAGATCAAGAGTTCTAATAAATAGCAAATTGTCCCATAAACTGTAGGGTGACACGCTGTGGGAATGCAGTCTATTGTTCTAATAAATAGCAAATTGTCCCATAAACTGTAGGGTGACACGCTGTGGGAATGCAGTCTATTGTTCTAATAAATAGCAAGTTGTCACATAAACTGTAGGGTGACATGTTGTGGAAATGCAAACTATTGTTCTGGAGGAGAGGGGATCTCCAAGAGGCAGAGTGATTGATACTAGCAGTGACTGGCTAAGTCCCTGGGCCACAGGAAGGAAGGAGAAGCACCAACATTGCATGTCTAAGGACAAAAAATACGTCACAATTCCAGCTGCTCTGCAGAATGTCCATGGTGTCTTTTCCACTATCCTTTCCCTCTCCTTCTCAAATGTGGTAAAATTGGAGTGGTCGTTAGACCCCTGGACTCTGAGGAAAACAATTCATATATATGGCCACCTCACAGGCCCCTTCTTAGTCTGCAATGAGCCCAGTACTCAGAGCTTCTGAACCCCAAGGAGCTGTATACAATAGAAATTGCTCTAGGCAGTGGAGAAATCCACCAGTAAAATCATTTTGTTTCAGATTTTAAATACATTAACTGAGCATAGTTTGAATGCACACGCCTTTAATTCCAGCACTCAGGAAGCAAAGGCATGTGGGTCTCTGGAGGCCAGCCTGGTCTACTTAGCAACTTCCAGGACAGTCAAAGATGCATAATTTTAAAAAAAGGAAGAAGATAAAAAAGAAAAAAAAACATTAATTGCATGGCAGAAATTGTCATACAAGGGGGCTGGAGAGATGGCTCAGTGGTTAAGAGCATTGCCTGCTCTTCCAAAGGTCCTGAGTTCAATTCCCAGCAACCACATGGTGGCTCACAACCATCTGTAATGAGGTCTGGTGCCCTCTTCTGGCCTGCAGACATACACACAGACAGAATATTGTATACATAATAAATAAATAAATATTAAAAAAAAAAGAAATTGTCATACAAGTGCAAAAGCTTGTTAGCCTTGAAGGATAGTTCACCTGTTCTGCCCCAACCTGGGGACATGACTAAGCCCCTGGACTGCTGGGCTCTTCAAAAATTTATATGGCTGCCTAGCTCATGCACGGACCATTTCTCAGAAGGGATCTGACTACACATGCCCCAAGATGTGGAAGGGGGTGAGCTTCATAGTGAGGGGAAGTCCCTGGGGTCTCTCTAGGACCAACTGGAGTACCTTGAAGTAAATGGTATTAACCAACACCAGGGCTGTGAGCTCGTTGATGGCTCCCTGGGGGATGACGTCTTTGATGCGGCCTTCAGTCTTATTAGCTACCCAGTCGTTGATGCTCACTCGGGATTGCTCTGCATTTTCCTAAAGAACACAAGGAGGGTGAGTGGGGAAGCGGGAGAGGAATGGGAGGAGGGAAGGAAGTGTAAATTTTTGAATGGAAAAAAATAAATTAAAAAAAAAAAGAAGTAACCTGTGACCTGTACAACTCAATTACCCTTGAATTTCAGGTCCCCCCCCCCCCCCCCCCCCCCCGCACAATGCATTTTGTTCTCTGCTCTCGTCCAGTGTCTGGTTGAGAGGCCACCGCTTTAGCCCACTTATGAAGCCTCACACATCCGATATACTGTCACTTGTGTTTTCCTATGGTTAATCTTTTGTCATGCCAGCGGTCAAACCAGGAACCAGCCCACTAATCAATGTTAGAAGAAGAGAAAGAAAGAGGAGACCAAGGATCAGGAAAGAAGGACGCGGAATGCAGTCTGAAGGGCAGAAGGCCCGGCGTTATCTACTCTGATGCTGGAAAACCTAAACTCACAGGAGCATCTTCTCCAAACATGGGAAGAAATGAGTAATGATGTGGTTAAGAGGAAAGGGGGTAGTCTTGTGTAGTAAAATAAGTTTAGAGCCGGGCGGTGGTGGCGCACGCCTTTAATCCCAGCACTCGGGAGGCAGAGGCAGGCGGATCTCTGGGAGTTCGAGGCCAGCCTGGTCTACAAGAGCTAGTTCCAGGACAGGAACCAAAAGCTACGGAGAAACCCTGTCTCGAAAAATCAAAAAAAAAAAAAAAAAAAAAGTTTAGAAAAGGTGGTGGTGGTGGTGTGCACCTTTAATCCCAGCACTCGGGAGGCAGAGGCAGGTGGATCTCTGTGAGTTCAAGGCCAACCTGGTCTATAGAGTGAGTTCAAGGCCAGCCAGGGCTACAGAGTGAAATAAAATGCTGACAGAATTAAGCTTGGTGGTTGGAATGGGAACAGCCCCATCGCTTCATGTGTTTGCATACTTAGTCCCCAGCTGATGAAGGATTTTTGGAAAGGATTAGGTGTGTCCTTCCCGGAGGAAATATGTAACTGGGAATCAGCTTTGAGGTTTCAAAAGCCCATGCCAGCCTCAGTCTCTCTCCCTGCTTGTGATTAGGCCTGTGGCTGCCAGTCTGCAGCCACGCTTTCCACCATGATGAAAATGGACCACGCCCTCTGAAACCCTAAGCAAGTCCCCAGCTAAATGCTTTCATTTTTTTAGAAAATATTTATTTATTATGTATACAACATTCCTTCCATGTATGCCTGCAGGCCAGAAGGGGCACCAGACCTCATTACAGATGGTTGTGAGCCACCATGTGGTTGCTGGGAATTGAACTCAGGACCTTTGGAAGAGCAGGCAATGCTCTTAACCACTGAGCCATCTCTCCAGCCCTAAATGCTTGCATTTTTAAGAGTCACTTTGGTCGTGGTATCTCTTCACAAAAATAGAACAGTAACTAAGATAGAAGTCAAGGTATTTTTTGTTGTATTATACTTTATAGGCTTGGGTGCTTCATGAGCTCCAAGGGGGCATGCACCAGTTTTATTTTACCATGACATATTGGAGCTTGGTAAGATTAAATAAAAAAGTAATGTGTTACACAACATCTTTAGAGAACCCCCAAGCCGGGCGATGGTGGTGCACGCCTTTAATCCCAGCACTCAGGAAGCAGAGGCAGGCGGATCTCTGAGAGTTGGAGACCAGCCTGGTCTACAGAGCTAGTTCCAGGACAGGCTCCAAAGCCACAGAGAAACCCTGTCTCGAAAAACCAAAAAAAAAAAAAAAAAAAAAAGAGAGAGAGAGAGAGAGAGAGAAGCCCCATAACAGGAGGCGTGAGTATCGTCGCTCTCTGAAGTCTGGAGTAAGGGTTACTGTGCCAAGGGTTTTGATTTGTCCTCCGCCTCCACCAGCCATTGGCAAGTACAGCAGTGTTTATTTGGATCCTGTTTCTCCCCCTTCTCAGTGTGAGTGGAGAGGACGCCGATGTCTACAACTCACCTTGAAGTCCAGGGGCTGGAGCTTGGCTCCATAGACAATCTCACTAATGTCCTGATAGGTCTCGTTGAAGGTAAGGGATTTGTCTCCAAAAAGGCGATTCGCTGCTACCAAGTTGGAGGACTTGTTGGCTTTTCGATAGAGTCGGCAGTTCAGTTTGGCAAAGAAGAAGTGGATCTGATCGGATGTTTTCTCTGAGATGGTATCAAACTTAAAAACCTATAGTGACAAAAGAAAACAGTCGGTGTGATTGGGCAGCCCAGTTACCACGGGTACCAGGTACAGTGCTGGACCAACAGCCGTTCTCAGCGGCTAAGTTCCCTCCAGTACAGTGCCTGGTACAGCAGCTCATGTTTTGAAAACGACTATGCAAGAAAAAGAAGAGTAAAAGGCGGGGAACGTAATGGGGAAAGACCAAAAGACAGGACTGCCACTGCTCCTTAAGGGACTGCAGACAATGCAGGATACTTTCCGACCCCATGTGGGGAAAGCATCTTGGTAATTCTCGACAGATCGAGGAACCAAGATAGTGGATCTCACTGTAAACAAGCATTTCCACAGCATCTGCTTGGGTCAGCACCTCTTCAGGGCTCTGCCATGCTGGCTGTGGAAGGGCTGAGAAAGGCAAAAATTGTGTCAGCAAGGAAATAAATAAACCCAGAATCAGAGTCTTGGGGTTAAAAGGACTTAAAAGTCCCTCATACCAGTCAGAGCCATAGCAGCTGCCACAGACCCAAACCACCTTCTTCATCACCAGCACACAATGGAGAGGCTGGCCCCTCCCCCTCTATGCTCTGTCCTCCGTGGGAAAAGGCTTTTCGGTTTTATTTATTCTGCAATTCAGGTTTTCCTGATTTTGTTCTAATATGTACTCTGTGCTTGTGTGTGTGCCATGTGCGCATGGATGTGTGCACACATGCAGGTGGAGCTCAGAGGACAACCTCGAGTCTTGTTACTCAGGAACCATACACCTTTCTCTCCACCTTAAAACAGTGTTTATTTGGAGGGTGGTGAATGAATGCCTCGTGTGTGGGCGTGCCTAAAGAGCCCAAGAAGACTCTGGATCTTCTGCTGCTGGGACTACACAGGTTATGAGCTGCCAGATGTGGAAGCTGGGAATCTAACTTGAGTCCTCTGGAAGAGAAGGAAGCTCCTTTCACCTCCGAACTCTCTCTCCAGACCCATCTTTCCCTTATGTGAGACAGTCTCTCACTGGCCTGGAGCTGCCGCAAGGGATCCGCCTGTCTCTACCTCCCCAGCTCTGGGATCCGCCCGTCTCTCCGCCCCAGCTCTGGAATTACAAGCCTGTGCGTAAAGCCCAGCTTTCCGGGTCTGGAGCTCAAACTCAGGACTTGTGCCTGCAAGGCAAGCTCTTCACCCTCTCCCCAGGCCCCTTTTGGATCACTCTTGGCTAAAAGCTCTGTGGGTCTCTTGGAGAGAGAGTCACACCAATTTTCTATATCTGACATCCCAGAAGATGTAGAAGAGACTCAGGACGTGTTTGATTACAAGTGATGTCATATCTCTGGTGGGTTTTTCTGCCTGTCTTTATTTTGCGTTGGCAGAAATTAAACCAAGAGCTCTGTGAATTACTAGTCACGTGCTCTACCCCCAACCACGTCTCCAGCTCTTGTTTCTTTTCATAGGAAGGATCACATTTAAGTTCACATTTGAGGACAGGGACATTTGAGACTGAGGCCAGTGTGTGAGAACTTACTGATAGGGGGCAGCATTGTGACAGGAGTTTCTAATGTGCTGCCCAGCATCCTTCACAAGAGCACCAGGGACAGACTACAGGGAAAGGACAGTCTCTTGTCCACTGTGCTGGCGACACCGAAGAAGCAGCCTCTGAAAGCTGAGCCCTCTTCTGTGAGAGCAGGTGTGCATTGCCTCAGCCCTGAGCTGAACAAATGAAGTTTAGTGGAAACCGGCCACTGGCATAGATAGAGGTAAACCTTCCTAACTTCCAGAATTCAGTGACTTGGAATCACAGGACCACTATATGCCATGCTGGAGGATTTTCTGCCTCCCTGTCATTTGTCCTTGTTTCCAGAGTGAGATTCTGACATAGGATTCCCTTTTGTATACTATGAATATGTTTTATTACCAATGGTTAATAAAGAAGCTGCTTTGGGCCTATTGCAGCACAGAATAGAGCAAGATGGGAATTCTGAGCAGAGAGTTAAAAAAAAAAAAAGAAGGTGGAGTCAAAGAGATGCCATGTAGCAGCTGAAGGAGACAGAACCATGAGCCTGGTGGCAATACTTAAAATAATAAAAATGGTTTAATTTAAGATGTAAGAGTTAGTTAATAAAAATCCCAAGTTAATAGATTAAGCAGCGTTTTAATTAATATAGTTTCTGTGTAATTCTTTTGGGTCTGGGGACCTGGGAAATGAACAAGCTGTCCCTGTCTATAAGATTCAACCTGAAGAAAGCCAACAGGGCACTCAAGTCAAGGGCAGAGTAAGGATCTAATGTTTCCACCCATGGTTTAGGGTGATACCAGTGGCTACTTCATTCATGGTATTTCTTATTATCTTGCTACACACACACACACACACACACACACACACACAATATACATATACATATATACACACACATATAAATGATAAAATAAATGAATATACACATAACTGGGCATAGTAGTACACACCTGTAATCCCAGCACTTGGAAAGTAGAGGCAGGAGGACCACAAGTTCAAGACAATATTGTTGTAAGGAGGCTGCTTGTTCATTTCCCAGCTGCTCAGACTCCCAAAATAACCACATAGAAACTGTATTAATTAAATCACTGCTTGGCCTATTAGCTCTAACTTCTTATTGGTTAGCTTTTACATATTAATTTAACCATTTGTATTAATCTGTGTATCGCCACATGGCTGTGGTTTATCAGGTAAAGTTCCGGCGTCTGTCTCCGGTAGGGCTACATGGCTTCTTTCAACTCCACCTTCCTTCTCCCAGCATTCAGTTTAGTTTTCCCCACCTAGCTCTATTCATTTGCCCTATCACAGGCCAAGACAGTTTCTTTATTAACCAATGGTATTCACAGCATACAGTGGGAAATCCCACATCACAACATGCATGAGACATTGTTTCAGAAAATGAGTGAATGAGAGAGAGAGAGAGAGAGAGAGAATGACTAACAAGAGAAGTTGCTACACCAGCCTTCTCCCATTTATAAATAGTACAGAGCATGGGCTGGCAAGAGGAGTGAGCAGGTACAAGCACTTCTTGTCAACCCTGACAGCCGGCATTTGATCCCTAGAACCCACAAAAAGTCACATGAGTAGCTTGCATCTGTAATCCCAGCGCTCCTATAATATGGGGAGGAGAGACCAAAGAATCACCTGGAAGTTTGTAGGGAAGCTAGCCTGGACTCTGCAGAAGGGCAGAAATGAGGGACCCTCGCTCAACAAAGTGGAAGGAGAGAACCGACTCCTGAAAGTTGTCTTGGGCTTCCACACACATGCCGCAGCACTCAAATAATAATAAGTAAAATAATTTTTAGATGCAAGAGACAAGGAAACATTTATAAAGAAGACATTCAGGTAGTAACTCCTTGACTAATTAAAAAAAAATAGCCACATGGTAGCTAATACATGTAATTCTGCTATTCATAAGGCTGAGGCCAAGTGATCGTCACAAGTTCAAGGTCAGTCAGAGCTACTTATTGTAAGTATGGGGTCAACCTGGGCTACATAGTAAAAACCTTTCTCAAAAACTGAAGGGTTATTTTGAAAAATAGTCCTGGACAGGAGAGATTGCTCAGTGGTTAAGAGCATTGGCTTCTGCTTTTCCAGAGGCCCCGGGGTTCAATTCCCAGCACCCACATGGCAGCTCACAACTGTCTGTATGTTACTCCAGGTGCAGAGGAACTAACAGAGACACATGCAGAAAAGAAAGAAAGAAAGAAAACAAGAAAAAAAGAAAAAAAGAAAGAAAGATCCCAAGACACGAAACAATAATTCCAAGAGAGTCATAACCCACAGTGAGTTCACGATCATTAGACATAAAGAAGTTTGAGAGATGTTCCCCAGCAAGGAAAGAGGTAGAGAACTTCACACTACCTCCATCAGCTGCTTGAGGGTGTCATTACAGGCACCCAGCTTGGTCATAGCAAAAGCCGTGGAGATGCTCAAGGGCGACAAGAAAATGTTGTCATTGTCATTCTTGGAGTCTGCCAGGTGCTGATAGAAGGTGGTGGCAAATCGAGAGTTGGCCTTGGACAGTTCCCAGACCCGGCGGTTGGTGGCCTCTGGTATCTTCTGCTCTTGGCCATCCTCGTCAGTGGCCTTCTTGTTTGGAGGGCGGTAAATGCACATGGGATTCACAGGGATGTCCCGGGGCTTCGCTATGCAGATGTCATCCACAGAGTTTCCATCACAGATCACACAACCCCAGGCACCAATGAGTAGCAGGGAGAGGAGACGTACCTTCCTGCAGGGGGACAGAACTGTGACTACCCATGCGCACTGGCCACCACAGCCCTATCCCCGAGAAGCACAGGTTCTGGTCTTTGCATTTGAACTAAGCTTTGCTGTCCAGAAGACCCATCCTAGGCTCCTTGCATGGACACAGTTATATACTAGAAATATGTGTGTGTTCTTGCTCTGAAAAGGAGAACGCACTTTCCCTTGGTGAGTGGAACACACACATGTGCCCTCTAGAGAGACAGAGAGCAAAGGGAGCCAGTCCCCAGACACAGATGGAGTATAGCCTGGGAGGCTTTGCCCAAGAGGGTAAGAGAATGAATGCAGCCAGTTCAGTGTCTGCTTGCTGAAGGTTCCCAGATCCATAGCCCCAGCCTGACTGTTGGCCAGACAGTCCCATCTGGAAGGCCTGGGGCTGCCGTCATGAGATGTGACCTGCTGAGCTGGTTTCCCACCCACACATCTGCTCTTCCATCCTACAGCCATGGATCCTGAACCAGGAAGTCACCCTGAATCCTTCTCCTCCTCATTTAGTCTGACCTTAGATTCTGTTAAGGCCACTTCCGTACCCCCTGACCTTTACTGCATTCGCCTTGGTTCTGCCCTCATTCTTTTCTGTACCCTGAATTTTCCCCCATAGCTTCTAACAGGGGTCACTAAAAGTAAAGATAATCTCACACTGAAGGTGTTAGGATTCAAATAGGGTTTCAGGAGCCTAGGTTGCTTCATCCTCACTGTGCGGCTAAGGATGACCTTGAACTTCTGATTATCCTGCCTCCAGACCCCAAATGCTAGGATGGTTGGCAGGTATAATGCCCAGTTTGATATCTTTCTAAAAAAAATGAAATAGTAGCCAAGTGTGGTAGGGTATATATCCTTAATCTCAACATTTAGGAGGCTGAGGTAGGAGGATCATGAATTTGAGAGCAGCCTGAACTATATGATACCTCAATTTAAAAAAAAAAATGAAGTAGTGAGATTGGCAAGAGAATCTGGACACTCAGTAAAGCAAACCAAGGAATAAATTCCCCAGAATATGCCTGTAGCTAAAACAGTGTGGGCCAGGCTACCCCCAGTTGCTCTGGGGTACCTGAGCCACCTGAAGGGAGTCTGTATCTGGGCACTGAGTCCGTCTAGTCCCCTTCTGGAAGAAAAAGTCAGGCACAGAGTGCAGAAAAGACTTGCTGAGGAAGTCTGCTCTGTGGGAGACTCGGTGGGCTGTGGAGGCTGAGGGCAGGCAAAGGGTGTGTGGACTTTTGTATGGTCTGAAACCAATTCTGCAGCTTGAGAAGTGAAGCCATTAAGGGAAAGGAGGAAGGGAGGGTGACAAGACGGAGGAGGGGTGAGGGAAGGGAGAGAGAGCTACGGTCCCTATCTCTCCATTGTCTGGTGTCCCTCATTTTGTACTTGGGGCTTATGGAAACGTGAGTGGAGGCGGGAGCGTAATAGAAACTACAGTGGCCAGGCCAGGCTCTCCTCGCTTCCAGCTTCCTTCAACACTTACATTAAGAAGGGTGTGGTAGCCAGGAGGGAGTCTCTCTATGACAAGGGAACAGGGCTTTGGCATTAGTCAGAGGTCCCCGAGACCGGGGCAGCTGCTTCCGAGAGGAGCATCAAGCAAATTAGACGGCTGCCCTGGCCGCGTCCTTCGCATGGCCCATCTCTTCCCCTGGGAAGGCCTCCCTTGCGTCGGGAGCTAAGAACTTAAGATAGGGCTTAGGTGAAAGGACATCTTCCAAGTAGGTCATTAACTACCAGGGAGACAGCCTGGTCTTCTCAGTGTCAGAGGTCAGCCTTGTGAGTCCTTCAGAAAACTCAGAGAGATCCCTTACCTGTCTCCAGCAGCCGCGCTCCCTAGCCCATTGGAATACATGGCCGATGCGCTTCTACAGAGGAGGACAGGAGATGGTGCTGGCTGAAGCGGTCGCTCTGAAAACTGCTTCTTTCCTCTAAATCTTACAGAGGTCCAGAGGCCAGGTGGGGGTGGGGGAGGGAGCTGGTCAGGAGCGAAGGGCTGAGGTCAAAGGCCGATGACCCATTCCCAGGGTTAAGCAAAGTATAGAACTCGGTGTTGTTTAGTTAGTAGGCAAGTTAAAGTTCAGTCAGGCCTAGGGAAAGTGTGGTCCCCCTTTCTTGCCCACAGCCCTTCATTCTCCCATCACGTTTATGAGGGAAAGGGAAGAACACAGAGAATTCAAAGCTGCTTAGGAAGTCCCTGACTCAGGAGGACTCTGAAGGAAAACAATTCTGATTAATCAAATCAGGAGCTAGCAGAAGTAGAGGGGAGCAATTGGGAACAGCCGCTGTTATGGCTCCCCACCTCAGTGGGCTGGCCCCACAGTTGTGTAGTTAAAGTTGACCTTGAACTCCTGATCTTCCGGTTTCTACCTTCCAAGGGCTGGGATTACGGGTGTGAGCCTCCACCCCTGTTTCCTTTACTGTCCACAAGAGCAGCAACTGTTGAAATATCTTCCTTTTATTTTTTAATCTCAAAAGTTTATTTAGCAAAGAAGTTTCATATGTACACAGCCCAATTCTACACCACAGTCAACAGGCCCTTTGACACCTCTGCTGAACGCCAGTGTCTAGACTCTTCCCAAGCCTTCTAAGATGACGAAGCCGTTTGCTAGGATGACCACCGTGCCGGTGTTGTTCTGCCACATGCACTGGCTGCCATCTCCACACACTCTCCAAACACAAGATTCATAAAGGGATCAAAGCCCCACAGAACTCCTCGTACATGTCTGCCACCATTTAATGTCAGCAATAACTTCTTGTCCATAAATGTCTTCAGTTCAGGGAGCGGGGGAGGGAACCTTGTTCATGGTAGCTCCTCAGTAAAATCAGCATGACAAAAAATACTTCATTTTGTTTGTTTTTTGAGACAGGGTTTCTCTGTTTAACCCTGGCTACCCTGGAACTCACTCTGTAGACCAGACTGGCCTCAAATTCAGAGATTCACCTGCCTCTGCCTACCAAGTACTGGGATTAAAGTGTTCTTTAACTGGGATTCAAAATAGTTCTTAAATACCAAACAAGCCAAGTTGTGTCTCTTGTGTCTGTGTGTGTTATTAGTAAATTCAAACTAATGGATACAAAGGACTATTTCTGTCTTCCTCTTCTTCTTCCTCTTCTTCTTCCTCTTCCTCTTCCTCTTCCTCTTCTTCTTCTTCTTCTTCTTCTTCTTCTTCTTCTTCTTCTTGTTTTTTTCAAGACAGGGTTTCTCTGTAGCTTTGGAGCCTGTCCTATAGACCAGGCTGGCCTCGAACACACAGAGATCCACCTGTCTCTGCCTCCCGAGTGCTGGAATTAAAGGTGCGCACCACCACCACCAGGCCCCTGCTTTCCTCTTCTAAATAGTTAAAAATCCTATCACCAGAATGACTGTTACTGTGTTCAGTGTTCTATGATGTGGGGACTTGCGTTGTCCTCAAGAACTGTAGGGAATGCTTCCCTTTCTAGACAGGAAAGCATCAAGACTGCATCCATGTTGAGTTCTTGTCTGATGGAGCAGGATACTTCCAGGACAGATGGTCAAGCTGGTTGCTCACAGGAACCCATCACCCTTGACCAAAGAAAACTGAAAAATTGCCTGTTTAGCAAATAAAGGGGCACGACCTACCACAGGCACATGCTAGGAACCGTGTGAGGTTCTCCTCAGGGTCAGGGAGTAGCCATATACCTAAAGTGGGTATAGGACCAGCAAGATGGCTCAGTTGGTAAAGGCACTTGCCACCAACCTGAGTTTGGTCCCTAGGACTCACATTAAAGGCGTGTGCCACCACCGCCTGACTTTTTGCATATTTTAAGCACTATTTCCCCTCTATCACCCCAAAAGAGGTTCTCTTCTCTCTCTCTCTCTCTCTCTCTCTCTCTCCTCTCTCTCTCTCTTCTCTCTCTCTCTTCTCTCTCTCTCTCTCTCTCTCTCTTTCTCTCTCTCTCTCTCACACACACATACAGAGACACACATACACAGAGTAGCGCACACCTATAAGGAAATTGAGGCAGGATTTGAGAGTTGTGAGATCAGCCTAGGCTACACAGTGGCTGCCCTGTCTTTAAAAGAGAAAGGAAAAAGAATTCAAACTGGAGGACACACGTTTCTAAAGCTTCGAGGAAGCTGGCCCTTTCACTGATTACTCTGGGGAATGCAAATGGCCAGAGCTGCCATTCCGCATCAGGAATCCAACCTACACATGAGCATAAACTCCATCATCAGCATTTGGAACCTGCTTGCTGATAATTTTTTTTATTTTTTTTTTTTTTTGAGACAGGGTTTCTCTGTGTAACAGCCCTGGCTGTCCTGGAACTTGCTCTGTAGACCACGAAGGCCTCGAACTCAGAGAGATCTGCTTGCCCCTGTCTCCCAAGTGTTGGAGCTGGAATTAAAGGCATGCACTACCACTACCTGGCTGGAACCCAGTTTGTAATAACAAAAGACTGAAAATGATTCCCAGTTGGAGGTGACCAGATAAATAAAGAACAGTAGCGTCCCTATGGTGAGAACTAGCTTACTGTGATAACAGTGGGGGTTCTCCTCCTGTGCTGATAGAAGATCTAGAGCATCTAAGTAGGAAGAAAGGGACTGTAGGCATTACAGTACTGCACCTATTACAGTACTGCACCTTTGTAACGGAAGGGAGGGTGGTGGAGGAAACAGTGTAAGACCCAAAAATATGTAAACAACCCCTATTTCTTTGAGACAGGGTCTGCTCTATCTCAGGTTGGCCTTGAGGTATAACTAAGGCTGACCCTGAAGTGCTGGTCTTCCTGCCTTTGCCAATACCCATTTTACACAGTGCTGAAGATCTACCCTAGAGTTTCCTGCATGCTAGGCAACCAGTCTACCAACTGGATTTTCTATTTTTGTTGTTGATGTCTGTTTTAGGGTTCTATTGCTGTGATAAGATCATAAAAGCAACCTGAGGAGGGAAGGGTTTATTTCATCACAACCCCCAATCACAATCCCTCATCCAAGGAAGTCAGGGCAAGAACTCCAAGTAGGAACCTGGAGGCAGAAACTAAAGCAAAGGGGCTAGAAGGACACTGCTTTGTTGGAGGAGGGCTTCTTGTTCGTCCCAGCCATCCAGATCCGAAATAATTACATATAACAAAACAGTTATCAAGCAAGAATTACAGTTATAATATTTATATTTACTTTACCTTTTATTATAACTAAGAAAAACTATAACTATAAATTCTTCAATTCCATCAAAGACTCCAGAAGGATTTAATATTACCTAACTAAACAGGAAGTGCATTGTAAGCAACTCCCCAAACTCTAGAAATACATACATATCTGTATGTACATATCTGGCCATCTAGAAAATCTAACTAACATGACTACAAGCTTGACTATTATAGATGATTATCTATTTTTTAGATGATTATCTATTAACCTGTATTATACATTACATTTTAAATGAGCTGGACAAACACAATACCTTAATCAAGAGCAGAAATATGCATATAACAGAATTGACCTTAAATTTGTATCAATAAACAAGATCCATCTGCAAATATCTATAGCATATTCCTCTTTAAATGTAAATAAACATTTATAGACAGTATTTGGGAATAGGGGCGTAGTTGTCTCCATACTGCTTCTTGCTTTTTGTTGGGGAAGTAATTTCTGAGGGTATTTTTGGGGTGTTCAAGGCAACCTTTCAGGGGTCTTGGTCCATCAAATCATATTGGTCTGGAAGCAATCCTTAGGTTCTCATCCTCTGTGGAAACAAAAGAAGAACTTCCTTTTCAAAGCAACATATCCTTAGACCCAAATTCTGAAGTCAAGATACCTTTGTAATATACATGTTGGTTTAGCTTAGCAGCCTATACAATGAAATGTTTCTCTGTACTTAGCTCCTTCACTGTCAAAAAATTCAAAGAAGACACAATAATATACATAATCCAGACTCTCTGTGTATATTACATCTTTATGTGGCTTGTTTATTTTTACTCTATTTCTTTTTAATATTTATTTTATTATCTTTACTCCTTTAATCCATTACTGTACTCTGTCTCTTTAAAGACTTTGTTTTAGTTTTTAAAAACCATTTACTTCTTTTTATAACTCTCTGTACTCTTTTTCTCCTCTCTCCCAAGCCTATGTACAGTTATCCAACACTGTGACTCAGTTAGAGGTTTTTATGTCTGAATCTGTCCAACGCTAAGCCCTTCTTATGAACTTAAGTGGTGCCATTGCTAGGGGAAATACAGTACTGCCTGCTTGCCCTGCCCAGTCCAGCATGGCAGAGCTGTTTGCTGCCTCTGAGAGCCAGGCTCACAGTTCCATTTTTAGGCACAGTCAGTCTATATTGCCATTAGCACTCTTTTTACTAATCCCATTTAAATGCTCTATAGCTGGACCTCATCAGCATTCGCTGGCAGCATGGTCCAGAAAGCTGCAGTTTCAAAACAATGTGGCTTCTTTTTTAAACCACAGAATCGTGAAAACTTCTCTTAAAGGAGCCATGCCTCTGCTTGCTTCTAGCAAACAGAGCCCACCCAAGAAAATGCAGCTACTGAACCATGATTAACTGTGTTCTTTTGTGTCTAGGATTCTCAGGTTTTACATGGATTTAGCCCACCACGATGGCACACCAATTTGTTGTTGGAAGGCCGCTTGTTTGTTTTCTACTTGCCTGGCAGTTTAGACTAGCAAAATTTCAGCACCTCTGTCTCCAGCAGTGGCTCCAAAGCTTCTCACTAACTCTTCCTTTTTTTCTCCCAGCATTCAATTTAGTTTTCCTCGCCTACCTAAATTCTGCCCTATCAACAGGCGAAGGCGGTTTCTTTATTCATCAGTGGTAGTTACAGCATACAGAGGGGAATCCCACACTGCTTCTTGGCTTGCTCAGCCACCTTATAGCAGGCTGATATAGCATCTTCCATCCATGACTGCCAGCTTAGGGGTGATTACAGTGGTCTGGGCCCTCCCACATCAATCATCAGTCAAGAAAATACATTACAGGCTTGCCCA